CCAGGAACCAACCCATCAGGTCAGACACTGGATCAGGACCTTGGGAGCCTCCTGCAGTATCAGACACCAAACCTCTCGTTACTGAAGTGGGGTGTGTGTGGACGTGCGCGCGTGCGTGCATGCCAGAAGTGGGGGCCAGGTTGGGTGGGCACAAGAAGTGCTCAGGCAGGGCTGTTTATCAACCAGTACAGAAGCTAAAGTATTTTAACCACTGGTACAACCATGAAGCGCATACTAGTTAAAGAGGACCCTTGGTTCAGGGTGGTAGGGTGGGGTAGGGGAGCAGTAGAATCCTGAAGTGACATAAGGGCTGACCCCTTGTCCATGTCACAGTACCCAACGGGTCACAATGGCACCAGGTTGCCTGAACCTGTGCCACCCATCTCTGAACCTCACTTTGCCGCAGGGAGGCACTGAACTGAGAAACTGCCTTGTAACAGGTGGCGCCCCTCTGTCTACTCCCTTTCTTACATCAAGAGGGGAAAAACACGGAACTACCACTACCCGATCTGGTCACCATACGCCTATTACCTTTACTGTTACAAATACCGGATCACCCTCCGGGAGAGGATGCTGCCTTGTTATAAAAGGTACTTGTTTTCATCTCTACCTGTAGTGAGTTGTTTATATAAACTGTAAGGAAAAAGAAAGAATTTGAAAGAACTTCCCAGGTGACAAGAGATGATAATAGCAAAATAGGGGGGAAGGCTGGCATGGCACTTGAGAATTTTCCCATCTGGCTAGCCTGGGAAAATGGAAATGGGCTGGTCCACGGAAGATACAGAAGATAGTACCACAGCCTCGTCCTGTGTACCTGGAAGTTATGAACCTCTCCCCCATCTAAGACTCAGCGAGAAACTAATTTGGGCCTCTTTTTCCCAACCAGCATCACTTATAAGGAACGGGAGGACTTGACACTCCGGCCCCGTTCCTGCCTTCAGTGCTCCTGAGTCCTTTGCAGGCCTCCCGGTGGGCAGAAGCACCGAGCAGGGTGATCACGACCAGCTTAAAGAATTGTATTCGGTAAGTGGACTGTGAGCTGGTGCTGTAACAGGACAGCCCCTTGCTTGCTGTAATGACACCTTGCGGAGAAGGGATGTTAGCTAGTTGGAAAAGAAATCATACAAAGTTCGAGCTAGCTGAGACCTCGGAGCTCATGTAAAGGCTACTTGCTTTATAGACAAGGATTCTGGTCCAGAGATCTAAGTCAAGGTCATAGAACTAATGGTAAAAAGCAGGGAGGAAGTGAGAATAAAGATAGAGCAGACTATATTACGACTTCTGGGACATAAAGTTGTTTACATGCTAAGCTGGGACTAGAATCCAGAACTTCCACACTTGCCCTGCTATCATATTGCAATAACGTTCCTGTGTGTGACCTCCACATTTTAAATGGGAGAATTCAGAGAAAACCCATAGGATAGAAAAAAGTGGAAGAGTATTATCGGCGAGACAGTAAATAGATGGCACAGCTTCGTTTAAAAAATAAGCTCTCTGATCTAAGTTTCTGAAAGGTTAGTGCATCCCTGAGGTGAGGTTAGCTAGCAGTAATACTGCATTGACTCCACATTCCAGATTGTGTGATATCAAGAACTCCATGTTAGGGATGGAGTTAGTTCCTAGAACTGAGGGATACTGTTGAGTAAGACTTTGGCTGCAGTTCTCCTAGGCTCCCCATCAGCCCCCTCCTTGCTTCCACAGACACACTCAAATTGGCCTGAGATCAGATTTGAGGACTAGATGAGCACAGAAGCAGGAGACTATTACTCTCAATTCTACTCCTTTTCCAGGCTGGGAACCTGATGGTGCTGGCTACTGCCCCCCTGCTCCACCAGGCCCCGGTGCAGTTAGACTTCCACTTCCGCCTCACCCCCCAGACCTCTGCCCATTGGCACGGCCTTCTCCGTGACCATCGACTCTTCCTGGATATCCCATATCGGGCCTTGGATCAAGGGAACCGGGAAAGGTGACTGAGCCTGATGGGAGAGCGGGGAGGGAAGAGGTAGGGGATTTCACTTTTATCATGTCATAATCAGGTAGTGGGTATGTTAACCAGTGAGGGCCGACTGAGGTGCTGGATACATTCAAACCACTGAACTGGCATGCATACAAGCCTGTGAGCTGAGTCAGGATCTGGGGTTCAAGGGATACCAGCCCATGGGAGGTTGCTGGACTCAGATTCAGAAACACAGAAGTGAGAACCCATAATTAAATAATAGGAAGTGCTTTCCAGCAGTTTGTCTTTACAGAGTAGTCCCTCCTCCCCAGGTCCTTCCCATGGCATGGATGTTAGTCCAGTAGCGTGCAATCCCTTGGCTTCAGAGAAAAACCTACCAAAACTAGTTTAACAGCTTTCATTTCCTGGCTTGGGTGAGGAAAAACTGAGCAATAAGATTTCTTCTCCAAGTAAGCATCTTTTTGGATTCTGAGTTCGCTAAACATTTCATTAATGGTGATTTTTCTCTATGGCCCCTAGTTTGACCGCAACACTGGAGTATGTGGAGGAGAAGACCAATGTGGACTCCGTGTTTGTGAACTTCCAAAACAACCGGAATGACAGAGGTAGGGATCTGCTCTGTCTTTCCTAGCTCTTGGTGCTGAGGCAGCTGACAGCAACTTTTCCTGTGTAGGAGATCTTCTTCCCCCTCTCTTTAAAAAAAGGCATGCTCAGGAATTTCAGGGATTCAACATTTCCTCCCCCAAGGAAATTCAGGCACCTAGCATCCTGTTCATTCAATTTGCGACTGAACTGTCAAGAAGGCCCTGTCGGTAGATTTCAGAAGCCAGACTGAAGCAGCAGTGGTGAAATTACACGGAATTCATTCAAGGGACATGGCTGGTAGAACAGACAGACCTCAAGTGTTGTTAAGCACCTAGAGGGTGAAAGTGTCGGTCATAATGCCAGGAGGACAGCAATATATTTAACCAGATGCTTGGAGCATATGTTACAGAAACTACCACCTCTTCCCTCGAGGAGTTTATACTTTGTTGGATATAAGACAGCAGACGGTTGTTTACTACACTATCGTCATGTTAGGCACTTCATAAAGATCATCTCATTTAATCTTAAATTCTGTGAGGAAGGTTCTACGATCCCCATTTCACAAATGAGAAAACTGACATTCAGAAGGGTTAACTTGTAAAATGTCACAAAGCTAAGTAAATGTTAAAGCCAGGGCTAGAGGCTATATCTGTTTGACTCCAAAACCCATCATCCTAATACCTGCACTACACTGCTTCCCCCACAGCCATTCCCTAGCGGAAGAAGCCAAATCTGGGGGAATAGTTGTACTGAGCTTCAAAGAGTGTTCTAATTTGTTCTCTCCTTTCACAGGTGCCCTGCTACGGGCCTTCAGCTACATGGGCTTTGAGGTGGTCAGACCAGATCACCCTGCCCTCCCTCCCTGGGACAATGTCATCTTTATGGTGTATCCCCTTGAAAGGGACCTTGGTCACCTTCCCAGTGAACATCCCTAAACATGCTTATTCCTACTCTGTGAGGGACTGGGAGCCTTGATAAATGGGACCCAGGCACTCAGGATGTGATTCAGGACAACTTCTTCCATCCTAGGAATAAAGGGTAGTGCAATCCTCAAGTGTTCATTTTCTTGGGGGGAAGGTGGGGTTGGTTGGGAGTGGAACATGTCTTACAGAGCTGAACTCACTGTAGGACAAACATTTAATGACTGAAAAAATCAGAGGTACCTGAACCAGAGAAGGAAGGGATCCAAGGATTTTAGGCTCCTTTTGCCTCTCCCCACACCCCACAGCCAATTTACTCATTTATTCTAACCATTTACTGAGCACCTGCCAGGAGCCAGAACCAAGTACTAGGGAATTCACAAAGACTTGAGCCTTGTTGGGAGATTTTCATCCACATATTTCAGTTTAAATTGGAGACAAATGCTAATTCCTTCTCTTTGGATGTGGAGGAAATCAGAGAAGGTATGTGGAGCTTTGGCTCAAAGGGAGGATTTCAACAGACAAAATAAGAAATAGGAAGCTTCTATAGAAGAGGGCATTCCAGGCAGCGGGAAAAGCACAGGGTTGTACTGGAGGAATAAGGAATCCATCAGAATGGGATGTAAATTGAGAAGACTTAAAGACTGTATTAAAGGGACAGACTTTTATACACAATAACAAACTACAACCAGGAATGAAACACTACTCATTTTCCAGAGCAGTAAGTCCTATGAATGATTCATATCAGGGGACCTCTTAAGATTAAAGGCTGAGGAGCCAAAGAAACGGGGGACTAACTGGCCTCAGGACTCTGTTGTAGAGTAGCTCCAATTCCAGGGCCAAGCCTGCTTCAGTGAGCAAGTTCACTGCTGCCAAGGTCTGAAATATCAAATCAATGGCAGCCCTTCACTGATTACACTGGAGCCTTTCTGCTAATTGGTACTGCAATTTTTCTGAGAAAATAAATTTTGAAAATTGTGGCTATGGGAAAATATAGTTGCCATGTATATATGGGTAGACTCCACTAATTCCTAGATTTAAAAAATCCTGCATAAGGCATTCTATGTACTAGTTTTAAGTTTTCCAGTTTACCTTGCCAATCCTAAAAAAAAAAAAGTTAATTTGTCATTATTCCACCACCTACATTTATAATATTTACTTTCAAGCACCTTCACAGTTCTCAATGGATTCTCACAATACTGTCAGAAATGGAGAGACGCTGTAAGAAAGCAGGCTCCCTCAAGTCTTACAATAAGGTTACAGTGGAGATCTAGTCCTACAACTCCAGTTTCTGGAATCCTAATCCAGGCCTTTTCTTCCAAATAGCTTAGATGGAGTCTTATTTACACAGCCTAAACCTAAATTGGTTCTGGTTCTTAGTGAAGTAATTTTAGGGAAAGAATATGATCCGTGCATAGGAGGGACGCCTCTTTTCATAGATGGGCCCCTCTACATGAGGTGTTTGGCAATTTTCACCAGATTTAGGTTCAGAAGATATCGATAGGCCAGCTTCCACCTTGTGATTCAACCAACATTTAGTTTTAGATAATTTTCTTGAGAACTTTATTCAGCAAAGAATCCCCCAAATGATTTAAACAGCTATATATGTTTTCTTGCTCTCTCTTTATGGATGTGTGTGTATACATATATATTATGATATTATACTAGCAATTTAGAATATTTCCTGAGCTGTTCTCTCCTTGTCTACAGTATTTTAATCAAAGTTTACAGGGAAATAGCTGGAGTACTGTTTCAAAAAAACCTGTCTCCAATAACATATCAGCAGTTGAGGCTGGGAGGCAGTATTCTCTTCCCACTTCCTGAGGCTTTATTTAATATAAGTAAGCTGATTTTTTCCTTTGCCTCCTGACAACTATAGTCTTTGAGTTCACCACTCAAAAACTTCCCTTAACCAGAGTCACCTGATGAGGTGAGTCAGAAGTCTGCAGAATCATCACTTCCAATGACCAAACCCTGGCTGTTTCCCAGCCTCAAAAAGTACACAGTCTAGCAGTAATGTGCATTATGACCAGCACAGGGGAACGAGCCAGATGGGTGAACAGCCTGGAAGTAACGCAGCAGTATTCACACACTGGAAGGGAGATGAGGGGGCGGGGTAGGGGCATGTATTTGTCTCCCTCTACCTCACATTCTTTCTGGTAGTCCAGTGGAAGGAGAAAATGCACTTGGTTCACAGTAAGATAGATCGTGTGTGTAATAAAGGAAGGACTGCATAGATCTCTTTATCACAGGCTTCTCTCTCCAGGCACCAAACCCTGCCAAAGACACAAAAAACACATAAAGCTTGGAAAGGGCTCAATCTGAGAGCAAGTTAAGCTGCAGGAAAGCAGCTGCAGAGAAGCAGTATTAAGATAGGCCATGGGGAAAAGAACAAAGCAAGGCCCCTGTTGTCACCCTCATTACTTTACTGTTGCTACGGATAGATGATAGCTCCACTCACACAGTAAAGCAGATGGCTGAGGCAGCTGAAGCCAACTTCAGAGTAAGTAGTCATCTTCAAGGTTATCATCACCAGATATAGACGCAGCTTCTACTTAGCAGAAATGAAGAGGAGAAAGTTAGATACTGCCCTAATCTAGCAGGCACTGCCACTGAAACTTGGGGGGAAAATGGGCTTCTTGGTACTCAACGACCATCTTGGTTAAGAGCCAAGCCTTAAAAATCTCCCTAGTTTGGAGAGACTGATTGAGAAATGGTAACTTCCAAAGACGCTCTAGGGAGGAAATGCTGTTTGTACCTGATAAGCTGAGGCAGGACAGGGTATTTGCTATCTCTCCAGGGCTCTTCTTGGTCTCAGTGAGCATGCTGCTGAGAGAAACATCTATTTCTGTGGCCTGAGGGGATAAAAAACAAGAGAAAAAGAAGAACACGTTGGCTGGTGGGAAAGAAGAGGCCACCCTATCATTCTGCTCACAGGATCTGGTTAATGCAGTTGAATTTGGCTGCTGAGAGGGAGACAGTGCCTCCTTTGATCAACTAGTGGAGCAACTTAGGAAAGCTCTCTATGAAATGTCATGCATGACTAGAAGCCCTCATGTCTCTCGAGGCACCAGATTTGCCCCAAAGAAGCACCCTAAATGACTGCAATGGCTCACTCACCACATCTTGCAATGTGTTCGGGACAGCTCTGTTTTCTTCCTTGTCTTCAGGAAGCTCAACTGCATATCCTTTACGAACTAATTCTAACCCAATATCAAGTTTCTGAGGAGAAAAATGAAAAGGGAATGATGTTCTCTCTGTAACAAAGGCAAATGTGAGGGAACAGGGCAGAAGAGCTAGGACTGATACTTTCAAGATATTCCTTTGGTAGGATGGTAAGCAGGATCCTTTTTTTTTTTTTTTTTTTTGCAGTTTCTCGACTTTATTATCCTGCAGCTCCTCCCTGCCAGCTCCAGGGGCGGTCCTGGGGCACAGTGAGCAGGATTGAGGTCACACAGGTTCACCCCTGGCAGCCTGGGAAACTCTTATATCAAATAAGAGTTTCTGGGAAAGAAAAAGTAAATGAGGATATAAATATCCTGAAGAGATAGTGAGCAATGAGTGAACCCCAATCTTACCTTCCCATTGCTAGTATCATATAAGTAGATCTTGGGCCAAGTTGCAATTCCAGCCTGGACATAACTAGAGATCTTGGCCACCAGGGGTTTCCAGTCAGCACAGTGAGTGAGTCTGTCAAACTCATCCAAAGCTTCCTCTTCCCATTGTTCACCTGGCAAAAGATTGTAGAGAGAGCCTAAGAAGGGGTCAGTGCTGACAAGGGTGGTATTATACCCTGGAGGGAAAGTGGAACTATCTCCTTCTACTCCAGAAGGTACCTATGTCTGACTGCCAGGCAAGTTTCCAGCTGTTGCTTTCTAGTGCTGGTAAGGAAAAGAGATCTGAGTCCCCAGAACTCAAAAAGCCTGGGAAAATGAGAATTCCTCCCACGTGCCATATGAGTCACTCTATTTGGAAGCAAGATCAATAGGCGATGTGACCAATTTACCTGAGGGGGCAATCCGTGCCAGACTACACTCTATTGCTTGAAATGGAAGGCTTAGGAAGTCACTCCTAAAGTGAAAGAAATTGAAATTAGAATCCCAGTGCTGAAAGGGCCTTCTCATATTCCTTGCTTCTAGACAGCATCAATCAACCCAGCAGGAAAAGATAATCATCTGCTCTCTGTAAATAGTTTCTCTTCCAAATCTCCCTGGTCATAAGTGCCAACAGCTCACCATCTTATGGCCCGGGCCGAGTCAGTAGTTGAGACTCCAGCCTGACTCCACTCTGGCTTCCGCACTGACCTGAGTGCCCTGAGGTCCCTCAGTGGGCAATCTCCATTATCTCCAAAGTCAACAAAGTAGAGGTCCACGTTCCCATTCTCCAAGGTGCCAAGGACCCGGGCTCGATACCAGGAACCATTTGTAGGTAAAGGTGCTGCTACAATGTCTCCTACATGCACAGTCAAGTCTTCAGGCTACACATGGGATAAGGATCAGGAGAGGAGAGAGTTAGGAAGGGGTAGGCTAAAAAAAGATAAATAGGGAATACCAGAAGGAAGAAAGAATGAGTAGTTGCTCCACAGGAAAAGGAGAAAATATCACAATGAAAAAGATATGCCCCCTTTTTGTCAAACTACAGCCTTGTCCCTATGGTAACTTACCAGACTATTCTCATAGTGCTGAGTCATCTCACTGACAAGTTTATCCAATTGCAGGCTCCGGGAGCCAATGATTTGGATCCAGAAATGGTTAGGATGTTCAGAGGCAGAGACGTAGACTTCTAGGAACTCATCAGCATGGAAACTGAAGTCAGGACTGGGGACTAAACACAGGGATAAGCAAGTTAAGCTGCAGACTCATCAGCATCTAATATGGTGACCATATCAGAATCATCTCTGGTTGAAATAGGGAGATTGCACCAGGGGGGTGAGAGGTACAAATACCAAGTGGCTATTACCATTTAAAAAATAGCTGGAGGGACAACTGGATGAATCATACAAGAATATCCTGAAGAAAGGGACTAAACTATGTTCTGTACCTGTCTATGTAAGTAATAAGAGTTTACATTCTTAGTCATCTGCCATGTATTCAAATCAGTCACCAATTATAATGAAGGTAAATCCTCCATATGCTAGCTTCAGCATGGACCAGTGAAAAGGTACATGGACAGATGTGGGCCTGTTCCAGATAACATTCTACCACTGACTCATTATGTGACCTTGGACAAGTCTGTGAACCTCTTAGCGGCCCTGTTCTTCTCTGCCCTCCCAGTCCCTATGCGTAGAAGAGAAAGCTCACAGCCTTTTCATTCTTCTTGAATGGTGGTGATTTTTAAAAACAGTAATGAGACAGGCAAAAAAAATAAATAAATCAAGCTGAGTATTTTACTTGTTTAATAGGTATGTCTGGGAAAGAATACCACGTAAATTCAATTATTTGATGTATTACAGACTAGTTTTCTGTGAACTAGCATATTTCTGTATCATTCTCCATCATTAGCTGGTTTGTATTCAGAAAAATATTATTTGATTAGTACTAATCCAAGTAAAATATTACCAGAAAGGCATATATGTGATGACAGATTTGTAAGTGTAGTCAAGAAAACAGAAATTATTTTCTATTGCTTCCTATTTTGGGTTATCTAAGCCAGTATTTCTATCTCCCATATGGCTAATGGGTTCCTTCCTTGTTACGTACTTTCAAAGATGGATGTCTCTGGACTGGTCTGGGCTCCAGACTTATGATAGCTGTCATCGTTAGGTTTCTCCCAGGAACCTTCTTCTGGCCCTAAAACAGCCATGTCACCACCTCCTTTGTGAGGAGGAACTGCCAGCGGTGCAGCAGGCACGCTAGTACCAGCGTTTTTCCATAAAGCAGGCTCTCCGGCTCCACCAGGCTCTGTCATTTCCTCTCTTCTTACACTGATTGGCTGCTTGCGTGGGACTCTGGTTTCTGCAGAATGAGCAATTCTCTTCCGAAGTTCTTCATCTTCCGAAACTTTCTCCAGTATCAAATGCTGTGGAAAATAAGAGAAGGGATGATATCTGTGTGGCCAGATATTTTGACCTAGGATGGAATACAGGGTTCTTCTCATTCTTAAATACGATTCAAGTCTAACAGCTACTTGCCTTGGCTGTTGCCACTTCCTTCTGTGTTCCTGAGATTTTTATAAGCCTTGATAGTAGTAATGTTCCCTCTGATTCTTTGTCACAGGTAATTTTGGCTCCAGAGGCCTTACAGATAGAACGAATCGTCTCACCGCCTCTCCCTGCATTGAACAATACATAAAAACCTGTCCTTCTCTCCTGGCCAATCTTAACTACCAGAGAATCACTCTTGTGTATATACTGTGAGAAGAGAGTCAGTTTTTATTTCCAAAGTGAAAAGAATGTAGTATATTGAATGGAAAGCAGGGGCTACTGAAATCCTTACTGTAAGAAGGGGAATACTGGATTATTTGCTCTTTCCATTTTGTTTAAACTCCACACACTGGCCAGATTAACTTCATGTCATTTCCATTTTTTTTTTTTTTTAACCACTCAGCATACTTTACATCCCCGCTTCATTAGAAGATGTCCAACATGATGTGTGAAACATCACACCAAGGACAGGACTTTTCTCTGCCTCTAACAGCAGCATAAGGAATGCTCTAGAGGAAAGCATAATTGGTGCTCTCTAGAGCACTGTCTTGAAAGATCTGAGATAATGTAAGCAGGCTTTGCTTCCCTTTAAAAATCTTTTATGAGGTAAATACATTTACCTGAACCCTTCTATGAACCTATTTGTAAGGTTCAGATCATATAACTTCTTTAGGTAATGGGTTTTGCTTTACCACTGGTTCTGTAAAGTAATAAAGCTCTCGTCTCAATGTCCCTTTTTTTTTTTTTTTTTTTTATCATCAGCAAGGTGAAGAGGAAGTAGGCCAGGAAAAACCCTTGGGAAGGTGTAAAAAGAAAGGTGAAGGTAGACGAACACCTGAAATTTATACAGTGTTATAAATCAATGTTACCACAATAAACAAACAAAAAAAAAAACAAAGAAAGGTGAAGGTAGCGAAACAAGGAAACAGCAGAGGAAGCTGTCCAGTGGTACCTATGATTCTGCCCACAGATCTCTGGGGAACTGAGAGCTGCTCAGACATGGGGGTATTCTCTGTCAGGATCTGATGGATTGCTGCTTTGGCCTTGCACACCTGAACAGGAAAACCACTGATAAGCAGCACCCGCTCCTCGCCTACATCCTCTGTGTCCACATCAATCCGAGCACCTGTCTGTTTCCGCAGCTGCAGAGAAAAGGATACACAGCAGTATGCTTTGTGAGAGCTCCCATTTGGGTCCGCTAAGGGCACTCTAAACCTCACCCTGGAGGTCGATAGAATTGGACACAATATCAGCTAAATCAGGATGTGATAAGCAGTCCTCAATTACTTGTACTTTTGGAAGGAGATTAGTGAGACAGGTAACCCCAAATACCAGTTAATTCAAAACAGTTTCTCTTTGTGTTAGAACCCTCTTTCCCCCTAATTTTACTTGGTTTAGAGAATCAAATATTTTGTTTTCTTGACATTCCAACTGAACAATGGAAGACAGTAAGAAGAATCAGGCAGCAATTCAATATTTACTGTCAATTAATGAGAGTTCATTAATTTCATAGTAGAAAAGAATGGTTCAAGCTATACCAAGCTAAGAATCATCCAATCAAAAATCCTCATTTCAAACTAAGTCATCTGTTCTCTAGGGAGTAGAAGTACTCATCTCTAGAAGGAAAACAGCATAGTTAGCTGAAAAGTTCCTATATTTTTTGTTTTAAAAATATACATAGTGTGGGTGGCTTTTGTAAGATGGGGCAGAGGAGGAAAACAAGAAGTCAATAAGTGGAATCAATCCCTGAGAAAGCCAATTGCCTGCTGGCACACTTACTTGTTTAATATTGGCTCCTTGCCGGCCAATGATGAGCTTCACAGCCTCCTGGGGAACTCGCATCTCTATCTCGATGTCGTCCTCCCCAACAAACGTCAGCCGTTCTTCTGCACAGATCATGGCTCATCAGATCAGACTCTGATAACACCCAAAGCTACTACCAGCCCTCCTCTGAATCTAGCTGTCAAAGAGACACTGATCCAAGAGATAAACTGAGGATCTCAGCCATAATGACGAGAAGTAGCATTTGAGTGGGAATTAGAAGGTCCCAAAAGACCAGAAGATAGGCATTCTTTCTGGAATACTGTTTCAGATGCTAAAAGGGGAAAAACATTTCGCTCTGCAAGGAAGGGCTGCTAGATTTTGGGCAAACTATTTCTACCAAGACATGACTCCTGGAAAAGAATGAAGGCTAGAAGTCGCCCGAGGAGTCCATTAGGCTCAGAACTTCTCCTGTTTGTACATAAATCATTTCTCTAGGTCCTATTCTCTAAGTTCAGCCTCTGGGGAAACTGGACCCCATAGCTGGCCTTCTCCTAACTAAATAGAAGGAGCATATGAAAAAGATAAGAAGAATATAGATATTAAAAAAAAAAAAAAGAAAGGAAAAGAAAAAGAACCCATTGCAGCATTGATGTTGCTGAAGGGAATAGATCAACGGAATTATAAAATGAGTTCTTAATTTCATAGACTAGCTTCACATTAAGAACATAGAAAAGAAGAAACCAAAAGTTCCAGTCAAAGATCCCTAACAGAAAGCCAATTACATCCCAACAAACATACCCGGTCTGACAAGGAAAGGTTTCATTTCAATTTAACAAGGCTGGAACATAGTCTGAACATTTCCATACGGAGAGCCGTGGGGTTCACATACCTCTGCTTTCCCTATATCTGCGGTATAGGATATAGGCAATCGTTGCACTGGCTGGGATCCCGAGGCCCAGTGCTATTTTCTGAATAGTGGACAAACTTGTCCAAGAAGTGCGTTCAGTGGACATTTTCTGCTGTACTCTGACTTACATCCTGAAATAAGCAAATGAGGGAAGAGAAGGAGCTTTCATCCAACACCTTTAAGACTTGGCGGAGAGGCATGGGAACACATTATAATATTATTAAAAAGAATACTACCGCCTACTTTCCCATTTCAAGAGCTTGAGCAGTCTCAGAATCTATTTCATGTAAAAAGTCTATTTCACGTAACTTTTAAGTTAGCTAAGGGACACATACAACTAAATTGAGGCATACTTCATTCCCTGCCCCCACCCCTCCAGCGAGAACTATATATTGACCACAGTTTTAAAAGACAAAGGAACAAAAATTCAGTGAATCATATATTTAAAAAATATATATATTTAGATTTCATATCAAACTATTTAAAATTCTTTATCTGTGCCCTTCTATGCCTCCAGCGCCTTTCCAGAAGCTGTTGTCTCTGCAAGGAATGGCTTTCCAGGCCTAGTTTTAGGCTTTGCTACTTCCACTTCTTTCTTGGAAGTACTGCCTTTATGTACTGTCTGTACTCCTGATTTCTATTTACTCCTCAACTAGGTCTGCCCTTCTCCTTCACCAAAACTACAACTTCCCAGATAATCAACCTAGATGGCATGTATAAGCCTTATCTAATCTTACCTCTGTGCCCTTTTTCTCTTGGTTTCTCCTCCTATTCCCCTGACGGGGCCTTCAGAGTTTTAGATTTGTCTTCCTGTGGTCTCTATCCACTGCTATTGTCACTCTGCTCTCTTTGGGTAATTTCATCCACACCTGCAGCTTCAACTACTATATGCTAATGACTCCAACAGCACTGCACCTGGACTGATTCAGAAGCTCATCAAATCTCATTCAGACCATTGCAGTGGCCTTCTTGCTATTAGTCTCTCTCTGACACTGTATCTTCATTTTGATGGCAAGCAAATCTTAACATGTCCCTCACTATGTTTCCTTATTCCATATATTTTCTCATCCTCCCAGACAATTATTTCACACCATTTCTTCTCAAACCTCTAGTGCCTCATTCTCCATCCTCACTCTCAACTGCTTTCCTATTTCACTGAGAAAGAGCATTCAGAGAAAATATTAATAAACTTCCACATTTACCCACCTATCTCTATCTGTGCCCAAATATTCTATCTTCTCTCCCATGGCCATGGATGAACTGTCTCTGCTAGCACTAAAGTATCCCATAAAAGTGTTACTCCACCAGCATCGCTCTTCCTTCTCCTGCATTGTTAATGTTTTCCGCTCTACTGGATCTTTCCATCAGCAGACAGGCATGCTATTATTTCTTTCTCAAAGAAAACCTTCTCGATTCCACTTATTCCTCCAAATATTTCTCATTTCTTTCCTTCCTTTTACAGGAAAACTCATGAGTGCCAATACCTCTGTGTTTAATTTCTCTTTTTGTTTTCTGGTGAGGAAGATTGGTCCTGGGCTAACATCTGTCGCCAATCTTCCTCTTTTTGTGAGGAAGATTAGCTCTGAGCTAACGTCCATGCCCGTCTTCCTCTATTTTTGTATATGGGACGCTGCCACAGCATGGCTTGATGAGCAGCGCATAGGTCCATGTCTGGGATCTGAACCTGAGAACCCTGGGCTGCCGAAGAGGAGTGCATGAACTTAACCGTTATGCCACTGGGACGGCCCCTCAATTTCTCTTCTTGAATCCATTCTCACTGCTCTTGTCAAGGTCACCGGTGACTTCACACTGCTAAATCCAATGATTAATTCTCAGTCTTTACTTTACCCGACCTCACCCCAGTATCTAGCACAGCTGGTGACTCCTTCTCTGAAACACTTTCTTCACTTGGCTTCCACGACAGCACTTTCCTGGTTTTCCTTCTCCCTTTCCGGCTTCTCCAGCAGTCTCCTTTTTCTAACCTCTGAACACTGGAGTGCCCCAGGGTTCTGTGCTTAGCCCTCTTCTGTTCTCTCACCTCCTTGGTGATCTCATCAAGTCTCATTCATGGCTTGGCTTTAAATTCCATCTATATGCTGATAACTCCCAAATTCACAGTTCCAGTTAGGACCATTCTCCTTATCTCCAGGTTTGTTTATCCAAATACCTTAATGAGACACATTGCCATTTGATATCTAATAGGCATCTCAAACTTAACAGGTACAACACTGAGCTCCTGATCTCACCTGCTTCCTGTAGTCTTTGCCATCTCAGTAAATGGCAACTCCATTCTTTTAGTTCCTCAGGCTGAAAATCTTACTCATCCTCTCCCTCAAACAGCACATCCAGCCTGTCAGCAAATCCTATTTGTTCTACCTCCAAATGGTCCAGAATCTGACCACTTTTTACCTCTGCAGCTGCTATGACCACCACCTACTCTAAACCATTATTACCTCTTGCCTAGGTTACTGCAATTGCTTTTTTTTTTTTTTTTGTGAGGAAGATCAGCCCTGAGCTAACATCGTGCTAATCCTCCTCCTTTTTGCTGAGGAAGACCAGCTCTGAGCTAACATCTATTGCCAATCCTCCTTTTTTTTTTTCCCCCAAAGCCCCAGTAGATAGTTGTATGTCATAGTTGCACATCCTTCTAGTTTCTGTACGTGGGACGCAGCCTCAGCATGGCCAGAGAAGCAGTGTGTCAGTGCGCGCCCGGGATCCGAACCTGGGCCACCAGTAGCAGAGCGTGCGCACTTAACGGCTAACCCATGGGGCCGGCCCAGCAATTGCTTCTTAATTATGTCCTTGCATTTGCCATTGTCCATTGTTTATGCTCAACACAACAGCTGGAATAAGTCAAATGTTATTTATCAACTCAAAACCTTCCAGTGGCTTCCCATCTCACTCTGATTAAAAGCCAAAGTCATTATAATGACCTGTACGGTCTTCATTTTGGTTGTCTCCTCATTAGACTGTAAACTCCACAAGGACAGGATTTTTTTTTGTTTTGTTCCTCAGTACTTAGCACACAATAGCCAGTCAACAATCATTTGTTGAATGAATAAACTTCCTCTTCTCCAGCAACTCTCTGTTGCCTACACGTAAACTCATTAATGGCATGTTCATGATAATCTGATCTCTGCCTACCATCTTCACAGCCTTTTAGTCTAACCCCACCTCTACTAGGGGAACAGGATGTCCTCTCTTATGTATCCTTGCTCTAACAAATGTGTCACTTCTGTCTTCCTAGTCTTACTCCTTAGGCCCATCTGATATCCCTGGCAAAATACTAGTACTCCTCAAGTCTCAGCTCTACTACCATCTCTTCTTCTGAGGCCTCCGGGATTTGCGCTAGCTGACTTAGGGTGAGTTTTCCCTTAGCTCACACTGCCCTGTGAAAGATACTTCTGTGACAGCACTTGTTCACACTGTATACAACTGTTTATCTGTTATGCCTGTGTCCTCGAGACTAATGGCTTCACCAGTGCAGTTCAATCACATTTATTAAGCACTTCTATGTGCTAGATGCTACTGTAGCATTAAGGACACAAAGATGAAAAGATAAATGTCGTGAGAAGCTACTACGCCGCTAGCTACCTGACACACATTATTTTATTCAACCTTCATACAATCCTGTAAGGTGGGAAATAGTAACCCCAGTTTTACAGAGGAGTACACATACTTAAAGAGGTTACCTAACCTCTTACCCAGAGTCTGGTTTATTATTTGCATATTAAAAACCTTTTAAAGTGACTTTAGAAGCCACCTCCCCCTCCTTGTACCTAAACTCTCAGCAGAACAGTACCTAGTATCTTTATTCTTTATTCTGATCAACACATTCAATTCAAAATTAATAAATACTGGTGGAAAACACTGTAGGTGGTAAAAAACTAAAGACGGTGTCTATTCCAGATATTACAATGTAGTAGTAGAACAAAACATAACGTGGCTTTTAACAAGATTTGCTTTAAAATGAGGGAATGTAATTTATGCTATAATTTGCCTCCATGTACAAAAACTCAACCCAAATGATTATGCTATACAAGAAAAAAATGTTTTCCGGGGCCAGCCCGGTGGCGCAGCGGTTAAGTGCTCGCGCTCTGCTTTGGCAGCCCGGGGTTCACAGGCTCGGATCCCAGGCGCGCAGTAACGCACTGCTGTGGCAATGTCCCATATAAAGTAGAGGACGATGGGCACGGATGTTAGCCCAGGGCCAGTCTTCCTCAGCAAAAAAGGAGGAGGAGTGGCATCACATGTTAGCTCAGGGCTGGTCTTCCTCACATAAAAAAAAAGTAAAAAAAAAAAGAAAAAATGTTTTTCACCTTAAAAAAAACCTGGTTGTATCCTAGTAAGGCTAAAAACATACTCATTAATAAAGGACCTACTCACGAATAAAACTTTGGTTCTAAATGTGCTTTTCCTGAAAGCCTTTCAGGAAGAGTGATGAGGGCAAGGAGAAGACCTATTACAGAAATCTCATTCTGAAGAGAGAGAAAAGTCACCTTAAGGAGACTGCAGGTAGATTTCTTACCACTGTCAGAGGATCGAATTTTGCATCTGGCCTCAGAGAGCTTTAATGACTACTAGAAACGAATAAAATTCTTCAGATTACCAGAAGTTTGCCAACTCTATTTTTTCTAGCCAATAGTTTTAAACAAATTCAATCCACTCTCTTGCCCAGACTCATGGCCTAAAGAGAAAAACAAAACCTCCTTTTATAACCTTGGTGAGGGGCTCTTTTCAAATTTATCATTATTCCAGGCAATTAGTTGCTCAGTAAGTAGATCCAGTATATATCATTTTGAGAGACTGAGTTTCAACCTGAGGGAATGTGGCTGCCCCCCCCCCCTTTTTAGTGAGTAGGAAAGCATTGAGTTTAATGTGGGTTTATTTGTTTGAGTTATGAGGTTCCTTCCCTAACTGGATAAAAATCACCTTCTTTCTTTTTTCTCCAGGTTGCAAATAAAACCTTTCACAACTCTCTGTGCAAGTCTGGGTAGTATCATGTAAACATCTTTGTATATACCTAAGGAAAGGAAACAGGCTCGGTTTCACAAAGGAGATATTTTGCTTAAGTAATTCTTGAATATATGAAACCCAAACTGCTACTTTCTTACATTAAGAGATGGTTTAT